ATGTGTGTGTATCCTGATAGAGGATGGGGGTGAGCCTTCCAGGGCCCATCCCACGCTGGGCTCCTAGCAGCCTGCAGGTTGGGGGAGGGTGCTTGCCAGGACCTTGGAAAATCTGGGCGGGTGCAGGGGCCATGCGCAGCTGAACCCTCCTCTGGTCTCCTGGCCTCAGTGCTCACTCCTGTCCTCTGGGTGCCCACCCTGCTGCCTCAGGCCCTCTTGGGAGCCATTTCCTGGCCATGCTCTGGCACTCAGGGCATGTAGCTCGGTGAACGGGAGGTGCAGTTCCCAGACCAGAGCACTCTGAGGCTATGATGTGGCACAGAGCCAGGCACTAAGGAAGGGTTTAATAAATAGTGAATGAGTGAATGAATGAATGAAGTGCTTTACACTTCACACTTCATGTTCTTACTTGGTATGCACAAGGCAAGAGGAACATTGTAATGTGCTCTCCTTTTATATACATGGAAACAGATGAGCAATGAACAGACCAGCCTCCAATCACACAGCTGGGAACGAGCTGAGCTTGGCTTGCTTTTGTTCTAGCAAAACCCTGAGGGACACGGAAGCTTGGGTTCCAGCTGGACTGTAATTGCCAGGAGTCGGGGAAGCGGTGCTGTGTCTGGTCTGGGGCTGGGAGGCATGTGGTTCAAACTGTGGCTCTGTTACTTAGCTGTGTGCCACTTATCATCTTGAGCCTACGACTTCGCTTCTCTGGGCCTCAGTTTGCTCACCTGTAAAGTGGGGTGGTGATGCCTGGCCCGTAGGGACTGCCAGCTCCCAGAAGGCAGGCACTGTGTCTGTCCCTGGATCATCTGTTTTCTGTGTCGGCATATTCTAGGATGACCATTGGACTTGGTACACAAAGTGGTTAGAACAGGTCGTGGGAGGCACACAGGGAATGTTGGTTGTTACTATATTATTTGGAAAAAGGCACAGAGAGTCTGATGGCTTCCCTGAGGTCACACAGCCAAATCCAGAGCAGAAGTGGTAGCTCTACTAGTCAGTCAGGTTTGGTCGCACTGCCAGGGATTAAGCTGGGACTGTGTTCAGGCCCAGGTTCAGGACTGGGCTGTGTCCCAGGGCGCAGCAGTCATGCTGGACAGGGAGGCTGACGCAGGGTCTCTGGGTGCCGGGGATCTATCTACAGCTGCCCTCCCCACAGCCCTGCCCCAGGCGGAGTGGAGTTTTCAGGGCCTTGGGCTGGCTGTCTCAGGGGCTGGTCCAGGCTGCCTGGAGGCTCTCTGTCGCCCTCTGCTGGGTTCTGGCTGCCTCTGCTGAGCCACTTCCAGAAGATGGAAGACAACGCCACCTCTTCAGCTCGTCCGGGTGTGAAAACCACACCAGGGAGACCCAGTTAGGAAGAGAAATGCCCCAGGACAAACTGAGATCACAGGTCATTTCCACATCCTTCCCAGGCTCCTCCAGCTCCCGTTCAGACCCCAGGGCTGGACACAGATGCCCCGCCACCATTATCGGGGGGGTGAGGGTGGGGGCTCTGCTTCTTCTTGCTGCAGCCTCGGCAGCCTCATCACTGTTTCCTGAAAACAAAGCGTGCCAGGGCTTTTGTTTGGTTCTGTGTGTCCCATACCCCAGGCCTTCACTCGCGTGTCTGTCCCTCCTGCCTTCTCACCCCCCGAGCTCCTGCTCTGTCCTTCTGAGCCTCTGGGCTTCCGCAGCATCCGTCCTCCACCCAACCCTTAGCACAGCGGGCTGTGTGAGTCTTTCTGGGGCCGACTCTCCTCCCTTGGACAGTGAACTCGTGAGGTGTGTTCGTTTCCTAGGGCTGCTGTAACAGTACCACAAACCGGGTGGCTTAAGTAACAGATAAAACAGAAAGGCATTGTCAGGAATTCCCTGGTGGTCCAGGAGTTAGGACTCAGACTCTCACTCCTGAGGACCCGGGTTCAACCCCTGGTTGGGGAGCTAAGATCCTGCAAGCCACAGGTGTGGCCAAAAAAAGAAAAGAAAAGAAACTTATTGTCTCACAGTTTTGAAGGCTACAAGTCTGAGTCTGAAAGCAAGGTATTGGCAAGGTATGGTCCTTCTGATGGCCATTCCATGCCTCTTACATAGCTTTCGGTGGTTTTCATGTTCACATGGTGTTCTCCATGTTTGAAGGTCTGTCTCTAAATTGCCCCTTTGGAAAGGACCTCAGTTCTACTAGATTAAGATCTACTCCAATTTCCTCATTTTTACTTGATTACCTCCTATCTCCAAATAAGATCACATTCTGATGTACTGGGATTTGAGACATCAGTGTATCAATTTTGGAGAGAGGGAACAATTCAATCCATAATAAGAAGGAGAGGAACTCCATTGGATTCCTTTGTGTTCATTATCTCAAGGCTGAGTCCAGAGCAGGTGTGAGAGAGTGTGATGAACATTGTGAAAGTGGTCCTAAATTCTATTACTGTTTCTACTTACTGACCCTATGGCATCTGGGGCATGTTGAATTATGACCTGTCCTGTCCAGGTCTTACGGAGTTGAGCCTCTCTCATCAGGAGGGGGACATCTCTAGAACAAAGCCTGTCCTTTTACTTTTCACATTCAACAAAGCAGAAACTTGGTGAGCCAGGAGATACTCATGCTTTTTCATTAGTAGATTCCCATGGAGGCAGATGAGTGAGGCTTCATTTTCCTTGGTTCTTGTTCAGTCACTAAGTCGTGACTCTTTGTGACCCCATGGACTGTAGCATGCCAGGCTTCCCTGTCCTTCACTGTCTTCTGGAGTTTGCTCAAACTCATGTCCACTGAGTCGGTGATGCCATCCAACCATCTCATACTCAGTCGTCCCCTTCTCCTCCTGCCCTCAATCTTTCCCAGCATCAAGGTCTTTTTCACTGAGTTGGCTGTTCGCATCAGGTAGCCAAAGTATTGGAGCTTGAACTTCAGCATCAGTCCTTCCAGTGAATATTCAGGGTTGTTTTCCTTTAGGATTGACTGGTTTGATCTCCTTGCAGTCCAAGGGACTCTTAAGGGTCTTCTCTAGCACCATAGTTTGAAAGCACTCAGCCTTCTTTATGGTCCACCTCTCACATCGGTACATGACTACTGGAAAAACCACAAGTTTGACTATACAGACCTTATTGGCAAAGTGATGTCTGTGCTTTTTAATATGCTGTCTAGGTTTGTCATTTTCCTAATGTCACACAAAAGACCCAGAGAAGTAATAAAAAGGAACTTAACCTTTGACAAATATTTATTGAACACATAGTTGTGATAGGCATGGTTCTGGGTGACTGAGATTACATTCATTCATTTATTCATTCCTAGAAACAAGCTTTACACATAGTAGGTGCTGAGTGAATAATTTAATTACATAGTTGAATCATTTAAATATTTGCTGAATGAGTAAATTAATTCATCTCACAATTTTTGGGGCTGTGATCTATTTCTATGTAAACTTGAGCAAGTTACTTTACTTTAATGAATCTTAATTTCCATCAATAAAATGAGTTGAATTACATAGCTACTTTTGAGGCTTGTTGGCAGGATGAAATGTATGTATTAACAATAATAGCAATTTATGGAGAAGTTGTTGCATGCCAGGATAAATGCTCTCTATGTACAGCTTTCAATTTTCACAGGAGCTTTTTAAAAACTGAAATAAAATCAACATAACAAAAATGTCACCATTTAAAAATGTGCAGCACAGTGGCTTTCATACATTCACAATGTTGTGTGACCGTTACAAGTATCTAATTTCAGAACATTGTCACCATCCCAAAAGAGACTCAGTATCCATCAGACAGTCACTCCCATTTTCTCCTCCTGCACCATCTCCTTGTGCTTATGCTTGGTCGTGTCCGACTCTGCGATCCCAGGGACCGTAGCCCACCAGGCTCCTCTGTCCATGGGGTTTTTCAGGCAAGAATACTGGAGTGGGTCGCCATTTCCTTCTCCAGGGGCTCTCCTCCACCCAGGGATCGAACCCGAGTCTCCTGTGTCTCCTGAATAGACAGATTCTTTACCACTGAGCCACCTAGGGAGCCCCACCCCATCTCCCAGTGACCACTAATCTACTTCCTGGCTGTATAAATTTGTCTAGTGAGGACGTTTCATAGCAATGGAACCCATTATATGTGGCTTTTTGTGCCTGGCTTCTTTCATTTAGTACCATGTTTTCTAAGTTCATCTCTGTTGTAGCATGTGTTAATGCTTCATTCCTTTTAATGGATGAATAATATTCTGTTGCACTGATGTACCACATTTTGCTTATCCATTCATCAAGTTGATGGACATTTGGATTGTTTCCATTATTTGGCTATTATGAATAATGCTGCTATAAACATTTGTGTACAAGTTTTTGTGAACATCTGTTTCCAATTCTCTTGGATATATACCTAAGAGACAATTGCTAGGTCTATGTTTAATTCTGTGTGTGTGGGTTGGGGGGGAAACTGCCAAATTGTTTTCTGGACAGCTGCACCAGGCACATATGAGTGTTCCAGTTTTTCCTCATCCCTGTCAACACTTGTTATTTTCTGTCTTTCTGATTATCGGCATCTTAGTGGGTGTGCAATGGTATCGCACTGTGATTTCTAATGACTAATGATGTTAAGCGTTTTTTTTTCCAGGCTTTTAAAAAATTTTACAGTAGCCTTTTGAGGCAGCTGTTTTCCCCATTTGGCAGCAGAGGAAACAAATTCAGAGTTGCAAGGAGGCGGTGGGGCTGTGCCTAGAAATTGGATGGGCTTGTCTCTGAATCCCCATGTAGTCGAATTTTCAGTAGACACCGCAGGATGCCGGGTCTGTGGCATGTCCACCTTAGATAAAAAGTCCTTTCCCCGTACTCCGGAAGTCAGTTTCTCCTCCACTCCACTTGAGGCGCTCTATTCCAAACATCTCCAGGCTCCTCTAGGAGCCCGTTACTCTAAGATCAATCGCCCAAGCCCGGAGTTTGCTTCGCCAGTGCAGCCTTAGCTCACTGGTGGCGCCGGAAGTGGTTTGTTCATTTTGTTGGCTCCCGCCCCCGGCCTGGAAGTACTTTTTCGGGAAGATGGCGGCTGTGTCAGTGTATGAGGCACCAGTTGGAGGTTTCTCTTTCGATAACTGCCGAAGGTGTGGCCTTGCCCGGGGCCGGGTTCAGGGCGGGAGTAGGAGTGCGGTGTCGGGGTCGCAGTTGGGCTGCGGTCTGGGCCAGGACGTCCCAACGAAGGGTGGACAGAGAGGGCCCGCGGCTCGCGGCCCCTGTGACTCAGGGGAATCTGGGCCTGAGCGTGGCTTTCTCCTGAGGTCGGGTCCGCTCGTCCACTTTCCCAGGGCATCGGGACACCCTCCGTCTCCGTCTCCTTAGCGTGGTGCGGGTCCTCTCAGACGCTCTATTCGCAGAAAAACGGGACAGTCGTCCTCTTTTGGAGAGGAACCAGTCAACATGGGGGTGAAAACAAATGCTAGTCGTTCTTCCTTTTCCTGAGTTCCCTGTTAAGATACTCTTCCTGCTAGTGCGGCACAATGTGGCCCTGGCCTTCAATGCTTTATTCTCTCATTTGCTCTCAGAAATGCCGTCTTGGAAGCCGATTTTGCAAAGAAAGGGTACAAGCTTCCCACGGCCCGGAAAACTGGGACGACCATCGCAGGTGTGGTCTATAAGGTAAGCCGGAGCTGGCTGAGAGCAGGAGGAACCAGGCCACCTGGTCTCTTTTACTTCTCTGGGCTGTGTGAGGAAAGACACATCTTACAGCGTACTACATCAGGAAAAGGTCTTTTAGGAGAGACTGTGTGTGTCAGTTTTTTGTGCACTTATCGACAGTTTATATTCTTACCTCGCTTTGCAGTTTTCGATAGGAAGCCAGTTTTCTGTCTTAACGTTACTACTTGAGGAAACAGAATGATGTACTGGGAGAAAACGGGGTTTGTTTAACCGTTTAGCTTTTTTTTGTTGCTTCTCACTTGCAGGTCATTTTCGTTCTCACAACCACACTTTCCCGTCCAGGTGGACATAATAACTCCTGATCTAAATTGTTGTAAGGGTCAAAAGAGATAACTGGTTGTTGTCGTTGTGAGAGGTTTAGAGCGACATCTTTTAAAAAGAAATGGACAGACCTGGCTAATTTAATGGAAGGATTTCTGCATCTTAATCCAGACTTTTCTCATATTGGCTCTGTGATCTGTAAGGAATTTACTAAATCTCTGAGCCTCATTTAAAAACAGGAGTGATATTTCCTACTGTCTACTGAGGGTTCAGCCAGTAATGTTTATTAATAAGCCTTTTCTTGAATGCTGAAAGTATAGCACAGTATTTCAGTGGGTGGGGGAGTGGTTCAGGGAACAGGGTGTGGTCACTATTTTTTTTTACTGAACTAGAGTTCTGTTTGTATATGTGAAGTTGTTTAAAAGTACATATTTTTAAAAAACAGGATGGCATAGTTCTTGGAGCAGATACAAGGGCAACTGAAGGGATGGTTGTTGCTGACAAGAACTGTTCAAAAATACACTTCATATCTCCTAACATTTAGTAAGTATTGATTAGTTCAAATAACTCATTTTTAAACATATCAGGGGTAAAATTGCATTTACTGTTTTTCAATAAAACCTGTTGTTCAGTCTGTATTTTCTTTCTGTCTCCTTTAAATGGCATTTCCATTGACATAAAGTAGCTATTCTCCAGTCCTCTTTTTGCTTTAGTTCAGTTTTGACCCAGTTCTGCCTTTTGTGTGCATTTTGAATCCAGTCCCTCCTATCCTTCTACTGAGGCGTTGGTTTGAATTCTTTTTTCTCAGCTGGACTATTGCAGTTGTCATTTAAATGGTCCCTCTGCTTTTGGTCTTTTCTTTATCTCTATTCACTTTTCTGGCATATTGGGTTTTGTAAAACACAGATCTCATAGATCTCCCTTTCCTCTTTAAAATTTTTTCAAGAGATTTTTCACATTTCCACACTGCTTTCAGGATAAAATTGAAACTCTAGTATGATATTTAAAGTCATGTACAATTTCACAAAAAGATTATCTTTTCATCCTATTTAGCTGATGTCACCCTGTGTTCCAGTTATACCTGGACTGTCTCTATCTCCTTCATGTCCCTGTTCCTCTCATGTCCAAGCTGTTTCACCCTTGCTTTTGGAGCCCCTCTGCTTAGAAATGCCCTTTCTTCTCTGTTTGTATAATGTTTTTATTCTTTGCTTCCAAATCCAGCTCAAATGAAACCTCGAAGATCAGAATGAATTGCTCTTTCCTCCAATTTCCTGTAGCATTTTCTACCTGTGCTACTATATTGTAGTATATGTCTCTTATACTCAACTTTGAAATCAAGTGCTATTACTGTGTCATATTTTCTTTATCTTCAGCACTTTGGAATGAATGGTACCTAGTAGTAGATACTTGGTAGATGTAAATTGCAAGACTTGTAACATTTCCTTGCTCTTCTGTACAACTTGAGTGTTTTCTCGGATCATGAAATGCACACTCTGTTAAGAACATAGAAACTAATGATTTGCAAGGTTCTGTTGCACTACAGAAATATATTTACATGTAATTAGATGTGCATTCTTAATTTTATGTTTATTTAAGATTGGTTAGAGTAGTTACAGTGCATGTATACTCAAAAACATCTCTCTCTATCCCTCACCTTTGTGGATGTTTTCCAAGAGGCTTCACTTCTAATTGAGCCCTTTGGTAATTAAATTTCAGCTACACTTCTAATTGTATTTTTTAGTTGTTGTGGTGCTGGGACAGCTGCAGACACAGACATGACAACCCAGCTTATTTCTTCCAACTTGGAGCTCCACTCCCTTTCCACTGGCCGCCTTCCCAGAGTTGTGACGGCCAATCGGATGCTGAAGCAGATGCTTTTCAGGTAAGGTTTCAGGATGGGGATTTCTATAGCATCTTTCTCTCATGTCTTAGATTTTCAGCCAAGGGAGCCCTGGAAGCTAGAGAAAAAGCATTCAGAAACACACATTTAATCCAGAAATCAGTTGTTACTGAAAAGCTACTCTAATTTCATAAGGCTTTTGATAATGTATTTGAATTTATGGGGTCTGTTTTTTTTCCCATAAATTAATCACATGTGATCAACTGAGTAATTTCCTGAAGCTTAGGGTATTTCTAGATACAAAAACCTTTTTTGTTCTTAGTTAGAAAGTTAGAGCTGGAAGTGGAAGGAACCTTTAAGTTCATCTTGTGAACACGCACAAATGATTGTTTCCTCTCCCTCCTTTAGGGGCAAGGTAACAATGAAATGAAAAGTGATAATTTGTAGTTGGCTGTGAGTCGGTATAATAGTGTTAATATTAACCAACATTTGTTTGTTTGTGCCAGGCTGTGTGCTAAGTGCTTTATGCAAGATCTCACTTTATCCTTTTAGCCTTGTGATGGGGCTGTTAACATCTCTAATTATAAGTGAACAAACTGAGCTTTTAAAGAGGTGCAGTCATTTGCCTGCCTTATCTTCACTCCCTGCTGACTCCCACAGAGAGTTCCTCTTAGTGGTTTTGTTTCTCTTTCGTCCTTAACGATCACACCATCAGTTGGTGTTTGTATAGGTCTTAACAGTTTTCACATTTTAAGTCCATTTTTCATTTGCTCATAAAGAGAAGAGAGGTAGTGTGGTATAGTGGAAATAGCCTAGGCATTTAGTCCTGAGTTGTAACAATTGGTTTCTCCTTTTGTGACTGCCTTACCTTTAACAAATTCTCTCCTCTTTCCTTCTTTATAGAATGGACACCATGGTATCTTTTTAAAATTTTTTTGAAAAGTTGATCAAGAGGCCTTTATTTTGGCCCTCATCATTCATTAAGCAACCTACACAAGACATTTTCTTTTTCTCTGCCCCAACTGGTAGCAGCTGCAGCCAGTCCTATGAGAGTTAAAAGGGGAGCAGGAACAGAGAGCAAAGATTCTAAGCTCACAGGCCATATTCAGCTTATAGAGAAATTTCATTTGGGTCACATAGTGTATTTAAAAAGTAGTGGCAAATAATTATAAGTTGGGAGCTTTGAATTTAAAATATGGATTTCCAGCCTTTTTTTTTGATAAAAACTCATATAAAGTGGGCTATAATCTGGGACTCAGTGGCTGTTGTTGCCTTTGGAGGTGAGAGCATGTGTTCTGGTGTGTCAGTCCTTGTGGTTCACTTCCCTGTTTCCTGTCTGCCTGTGCCTTCCCGTGACTTGTAGGTTTTCGTCTTCATGGCCCTGGGCCCTCGGTAAGTGGATATGAGGTTTAACGTAGCTGTGCAGCAAGGCCAGTGGAATAATTCCCCCTTTATACAGTGGAAGATACCAGGGTTTATGAGTCATATGGCAGGAAGCCTAGTCATACTTATCCAGTTCCTACCCTGACTGTACTGAGTCTTTATGTCGGCAATTTCCATTTATTTATGTATGTAATCATCATCCTAATACTAGAGAATTATCACCTATCAGATTCTTCCAGGACAGTGTGAGAGCTTGTTAAAGTACTGTTGTCAGGATAACTGGACACTTGTGATTTGATTTTAAATGCAAAGCTCCCTCTCGTGGTTTGTGTGGTGCATTACATTTAAAACAATTTTTAAGCTTGTAAAATTGCAGTAAATAGCCTATTTCAAGATTGCTTGCAATGTCATTTAAATCTAGCAGATGTTTCTGTTGATCTCTTTAGAATGTTTCAGGAATTCTAAAATCTCTTGTTTCAGTATTTTATCTTTTGGTTAAATACTGTGTAAAAGTTGAATTTTATCAAAGTTTTGAGAAGAAAACTTAAAAATTTATGCCAGGATCATTATGGTTCTGTCTTTTGACATTTTTGTTAGTTACATAATGTGAGTCACTAGTATAAGGGGAAAAAAGCATAGATTTTGACGTTAGAACTTTGCTTCAGATCTTGTCTACAGTGCTTACATTGTATGACATTAGCCTGTTCACTCTTCTTAGCCTCAGTTTCTACCTCAATAAAATGTGGATAAAAAAAATAAAATGTGGGTAATAGTTCTGTTTCTCTAAATTTTGGGAGAAAATGAATAAAGAACCAAGCTTATGCAGTGCCTTGTACAGGGCCTGATACACAGTTAGATACTCATTCAGAGGCTGAAATAGAGTACAGGGTGTACTCTAAAAAAATTGCTATTTTTTTTCCTCCTAAATAATCCATTTTCTTGTATGTGAATCAGTGAGAAAAGAGGGTTTGATAAACAGAAGTGAGCATCTCTTTCCTTATTTAAACAGTATTTTTATTTTTCTTCTTTGACTAGATGTAGAAGATGTAAATGATGCTTGTTCCTTTTGAACATGGAACCTTCTTATTGAGTCTATCAGAAATGTTTGATATACTAGTCTGTATTCTGGAAACTATTTGAATATGTAGAGGCTTTAAAAATCGATTTTATTATATTGTACTTTTTTTCCCCTTTAACAAAAGATGTGTATTCATTGTAGAAAATTTTGAAAATACTGAAAAGCCCAAAGAAAAAATTGAAACTTTGCCATTTAGGGAGAATCACATTTTGGCTTTGTATACATTGATACTTATAATCTTTTTATTTGTCCATTCATTTGATCCTTCTGCCTTTCTTTCCATAAGTGCATGTTCACAGTAAAAAAAACTAATATATGTTTAGATGGATAAACAAAAAAATATAGAAATTATCTGAATTTCTACCACCCATAAGCAGTTGATGCTAATTGGTTAATGTACACTCTTCGGGGTTTTTCCTATGTTTAATAATACATGTTTTGTTCTATAAGAATGGGATGCTAGTTGTGCTTTCTATCTATAAGTTGCGTTAGGTAATATAACCTAATCTTTTCACCTACCAGTGCATCTTGAGTAGTTTCCATGTTGGAATACTTCAAAAAGAAAATAATCTCTTTTTATAAGTTATTATAAAAGTAATCATTGTAAAAATTCAGACACTACAGGAAAGTGTAGTGTACAGGAAAATGTGACAGGAAGGAAGTAGATTTCAACTGACATTCTGCCACTGAAGCACATGTAGTATGAAACTTTGAGATCTGTTTTTTGAGACCTTTTATACTCTGCATATATACATACTCAGATATGTGTTTGCAAAAGTGGAATACTGCTCTGTGTTGTTTTGTAACTGACCTTGTTCACATAATAGTGTATTGTGGTATTGTTCCTGCCAGTAGATGAGCTAGCTCAGCATCTAGGGATTTTACCTTGAGCCTGTGGAGGAGTTCTATAGACCTGTAACTCTCCTGAAAGAGTGAAAAATTTGTGTGTGTACACTTACGGGTGAGGATTCTACAGTTTTAATCACTCTTTTAGAGGGGTCTGTGCCCCATAAAAATTTAACAGCCATTGATCAACATTTTTGTTGGATCACAGTTATTAACTAGTTTTTAAAGAGTAACAATATTGCCTGTTTTAAGATGTTTAATTATACGGTATTCTGTGGATCCTTTGGAGTGTAGAATCTCTAGGTGCTTGTGTTATTAATTCTTTAGGCTGTATTCTAAAATAAATTCCTAGAAGTGGAATTGCTGGGTCAAAGATAGGAACATTTAACATTTTAATACATATTGCCAAAATTGTAGCCGAGAAAGATTGTTCTAAGTTGTACTACCATCAGTTGTTTATGAAAAACGTGGCCTGATTTTTAATGATTGTGTAGTGTTCTGTTGTATAACTAGCTGTATTAGTTTAGGTAATTCTGACTGTTTCCACTTTTCTAGCATCATAAACAGTTACTGCAGTAAACATTCTTATGATTCATTTCTGCATATTTGTCCTTTTATATCTTTAGAATTAGATTCCTGGAAATAGAATTTCTGGTTCAATTTTAGGGATTTCATTGACTTGCCAAAATAGCTTAGACTCTTTTAAAGGCATCAAGCAGATTATGTTTTATCTTGGAAGGGAACTAGCTGGTTATTATTGACTTTAACTAAACAGTCTGTTTGGCAGGATATATATATATATATATATATATATATTATATATATAGGATATATATAGTGGATCAAGCACTGGGCTGGGGTGGGACTGGTGGGTCTGGTGATTCTCTGGCTTCTCACCCCAGAGTTCTTAGATCTACTGTTGAACCTGCTGCCAGCTCATGTGGCTTAGGACCAGTTTCTTCCTCTGTCTGGGCCTCTCTTCCCTCTTGAGACTGCTTCTAAAATCCTTCCCTGCTCTTTATTTTTTCACTTATAAATGGAAGATTTGAAGTAATCAATTGGTAATCAAGGGACGCAGGAAGTATTGGACTTGACCTAGAGCACTTCCTGATGGGTAACTGTGTCTCAAACAATTTAAAATTAGGACTTTGGCTTTTGTGTTAATTTATTTGTATCAATTTTAATGATTGTATCATCAGGCAAATTCAGCATGTTTTAGTGTCATTTTTCTTCCCAAATAGCTAAAGGCTTACATTGGAGAACTTTAAATCCAGCATGTTTGTCCAATATAGCAGTTCTAATGGTAAAAAAATTGAACTGTATATAGGGAAAGAAATCTTTAGAAGTGTAAAACCAACCAAGTAGAGAGTCCAAAGGAGCAAATATGTACAGAATTAAACAGCTGGGGTCAGGTGGAAAATGTCTCTCCCACGTTCTTGAGAGAGATGACTTGAAACTGTGGACAGTAGCAATGGGTTTATAAACTGTCATGGAGTTATTTCATGGTTCACTTCCCTGCATAACGAAATACTTTTTTCTTTTACTCAGTATGAGCTCTTAGCTGCCATAATTTTGTGGATTTATTCAAGGGAAAGGTATTTTGACACAAGTCATTTTCCTGTAGTGAGGTTGATAATTTGAACAATTTTAGTTTAGTGACAGTTCACCATTGACTTGGAAGGGAGCTTATTTGCTAATCACAGAGAGGTCTGATGGGAGGGGTGTTGGTGATCTTCTGAGTAAGCCACGCTTGGCTCTGAGACTTCCTAATGTCTTTGAGTTGGTTTTTCCCTCTCTACAATCAGAACTGTAGTGTCTTCTTTTGAAGGGGGCTGGGAGGCAGAGATGATGTAAGGCACGTGGAGTGCTTCCTACAATGTACAGTTTTTTTTTTAACTAATAGATGTTCAAGTATGTTTGCTCCCTTCCCTGTTTTTTCCCCATCAGAACAGTAGCTATTTAATGAAGCAATAGTAGTGAAAGAAAAACTTTTTGTTGTCTGACTTCCCATGCAGCTTTTGAATAAGTTATAGTGATGCAATGTAGACTCATTTTTTTTTTCTTATGCATGCTCTGATCACCAGGTATCAAGGTTACATTGGTGCAGCCCTAGTTTTGGGGGGAGTAGATGTTACTGGACCTCACCTCTACAGCATCTATCCTCATGGATCAACTGATAAGTTGCCTTATGTCACCATGGGTGAGTATAATATTTCCCTGATGTTTCAGAATCCTCTTATTTATCAAAGTAGTCTCTAAAAGAACTGGTTTATTTCCTGATAGAGGAGGCAGCACAGTGTGCTTTGATTCCTTCTACAAATATCTGTTGAGTTCCTCCTGGAGATTAGGCCTATTTTGTGTGCTTGGGATATAGCAGTGAACAAAATTTAGACCAAATGTCTTGCCTACAAGGAGTTTATATTTTAGTGGGGGTGGACAGACAGTAACAACAGCTTTATGTTAGAAAGTGATAAATACCAGGAGAAAAAAACATAATGTAAGTGATATACCACAGTTATGCAAGATACTGCCTTTGGGGGAAACTGAGTTAACGGTGTACAAAAACTTGGTTTATTATTTTTCTTACAATCTGCCTGTGAATTGACAATTATCTCAAAACAGAAAGTTAAAAAAAAATTAATGCAGTATAAGGGGACTTGAGAGTGTTGGGGTGGAAGCCAGATAGTAGTGGTTTTTTTTTTGTTTTTTTTTTTAAGTCAAGAACTTCTTTTATTTTAAAACAGATAGTAGTGTTAAACAGGAAGGTTACATAGGTTCGTGAAGGTGAGGTTTGAGTGAAAGGGGCTCCCAGGCGGAAGGAACGCTCGACTGGAGGCCTCACTGGGGGATAGGCCTGGTGCATGCAGAGATTTTTTTGTGACCAGAGTCTCTGTTTGCCATTTAATCTCTGAGGGATCCTGGACACTTAGGGTTCCTCTCTGAACCTTGATTTCCTCACTCTGAGATGGTATCGGTAATACCTACCACGTGTGTACCAGGTTATGATGATTAAAAATAATGTACATAAACCGCCTGACCCAGTGCCTGGTCTACAAATAGTAGCTACACTTTTTAGGTCAGCTTTGTACATTTGTATTTTAGCTCTAAATGCTAGATGAGTATATTTTTTTTAATAACTAAAAAAAAATGATAAAATTACTTTAGAAGAGTTGGGATTATTGAATTTAACTCTCATGCTAAATTTCTGAGTGAAATTGCATATGTCCAGAAATTTGAACAGGCCTTGTGTAACTGGCGTTTTTCTAGATGTTGTTTACCTGTTACATTTTTTTGTCTTGGTATCTTGGCTCTTCAGAGCCAGGGATAACTGCTGCCTTGAATAGTCTGAAAATTGTTAGTGTGAGACTTTGCTATTTCATTGCATTTAATACTCAAGCCTTTTATGAGGTTTGTATACAACAGATGTTCCCTGTTTGTGAGAAGAATGATTTGCCCCCAGATACCATATGGAATAATTATTTTAAAATGAAAATACAGTAATTTTAGAATTGTTTTGAATTCTTTGTTCCATTTTATTTGTTATCTCCATCAAGATACTGTTTTTATTTCTCCCCATCTGATGCCTTTAAATGGTAGTAAAGGTGGAATAGTCTTTTCTATTAAGTAGTTTCGTTTCTTCTTTCTTTAGTTAAAAGAATTTTCACACTTGCAAGAAGGTAACAAGAATGTACAATGAATAGTCATATATACCCTTTACTCATTTTTGTCACTTAACATTTTACCACATTATTGCTGGCTCTCTGGTGCATTTTTGCTATGTGTGTGTGTGTATATAACCATTCGAGAGTAAATTGTGAACATTATAATCTTCTACCTCAAAATCCTTTAGAATGTTCCCTTACATCACTTTGATGACATCATCAAAATCAGAAAATTTAACATTGATACAAGGCCTTTTCATTTTTAAGATGGGAAAATTGAGTTGGTTTCTGTTGCTTTTGAACTGTAGTAATTTGTCTTATGAGCATCATTCCGAACTTAGAAAAGGTGTTGAAAGTGAGTAAAGCAGATTTGTGTCTGCTCATTTCATTCCTGTAAGTCTACTTTGTGCTCTGTCCTGGCCAACAGTGATCTTGCTTCCTTCCAAGTCCAGTGTGAGTCCACGGTGATGGCTCCACACTTCTGCTTAGAAATCATTACTCTCCATAGTCTGGCTTTGCTTTCATAGAAGATTAAGAAGAGCAAGATACCAGTAACATCCGATTTTAGATACACAAGTAAGTTGTTACTTTTGAGGTTTAGTGTGTTTGTTGCCATCTGTTCATTTATTTATCAACACTTTCTTGAGTGCCTTCTGTGTAACAGCACTGTAGCAGGCTTCACGGAGCGGTGAGTGTCTGGATCCTTGCCCTCACACACTCTCAGTGTCATGGGGGAGGTAGATTATAAACTGACGAGGGCAGTAGGTACTGCCAGTGGAGGCCCAAGGGGGAGAGGGTCATGTCTAAACTGGAAGGTTTCAGGGAGAGCTTCACTTCACTTGAGCTGAATCTTCAAAGAAGGATAAGTTACTTTGACTCATTTATTAGAAATTTATTTAGCCTCTACTGTGTGCTTGGGGGACTTCCCAGGTGGCAAAGTGGTTGAAAATCTGTCTGCCCTTGAAGGAGATGCAGGAGACATTGGTTCACTCCCTGGGTCGGAAAGATCCCCTGGAGAGGGAAATGGCAAGCTGCTCTAGTATTCTTTCTTGGGAAATCTCATGGACAGGGGAGCCTGGCGGGCTATAGTCCTTGGGGTCTCTAAGCATTGGACGCTATTGAGCCACTGAGCATACATGTGCTGGGCACTGGGAATGTAGTGGTCATCCTCAGGGTTTATAGCCTTGGGTGTGAGACAGGAATTAGACAGTTAATCTGATACACATTAATAGATACACATTAATCTGAGAGAATGCATTGTGCTAAGTGCCCTGGAGGAAAAGAACAATTATAAGGGAGAATTTCTAACAGGAAGGAGTATGTGGATAATGGATGTTTGGAAAGTCCTTCTTGGACAAGTGACAGGAAAACATTTTCAAATGAAAAGTAATTTATGAACATGATAAAACATTCAAATGTGGAAAAATATGTGAAAGTTAAGTCCCTCTTTCATAGTAACCACTGTTAAGAGTTTACTGTGTTTTTTCTCAGGAGGTATTTTATGATCCACCTTTTATATCCCTATCATCTGTCATCTACCTGTGTATTCCTATTAAAAAACATTGCTGAAGTCATGCTGTAAATATTGTTCCATTCCTATTAACTTGTTTCAAAGAAAATTTTGTATCAGTGCCTATAGATCAATATCAAATCTATAATAACACTGTCCTAGAATTGTATGTCTGTACCAGGACTTAAGTGACCATTTGTCCTGTTGATGAGTGTGTGTTGTGGTGAACTTGTATAAATATATCTGATAAATTCCTAGTAATGGAGTTTCTGGATTAGGGTGGGCACGTTTATTGCTCAGAATTCTCTGTTGAAAGCATTAGAATCACCGGATGATTTAGGAAAGGAGGAAATTCTTTCTTTTTTTTTTTTTTTTTAAAGGATAGTAGATGACTCACAGAATAGCTGGGGCTTCAAGAACTGGGTTTGGGGCTGAGAACAGTATCAGAAAGAAGGCTGCCGCATGGGCTGTTGTAAGCAAAGGTAGAATGCTGCAGACAGCATTGCTGGCCTGGCTGGCGCAGGCCTGGCTCACTCCTCTCTCTGCTGCCCCGGCTGCCTTGTCCAGAACTGAGGCTTCCTGCCATCTCATCACTGTCAGAGAGCTCCTTCCAGGAAAGGGTGGGTGCTAGATTGCTGATGGTGGGTAAAGTTCAGTCATCTGTTCTTGAAGTGGTGGGGTCCCCTAGACACAGGAAGTATAGATACTGGGCAGCCCCTAAAAGTGACAGATGACTGTACAGTGCATCTTACCTTTTGAGAGCTGTTGCCAAACTGCCCTCCAAAAAGATTGCACTAATTTGTATTCCACCAGGAGAATGTGAGAATGCCTTTCTCTTATAAGCTCTCCTACTTTGGGTCTTCTTGCCAGTCTGGTAGGTGAAAGATGGGGAAAAGTAGCTCTTAAACTGAGACCTGAATGGTAAGTAGGAATTAGCCAGGAATTTGCCACCCTGCTCCCTACCTGCCAGAGAAAGATTTTTCAGGCCTTATGGTGCACAAGGGATCAGTATGGTCAAAGGCCAGAGTTTAGCTGGATGGGTGAAGTGAGTGCAGTGGGTGAGGGGAGTGCTCCATGGGGGGGGGGGGGCACAGCAGAAGCAAAGACAGGGAGGGATGAGGATGTCTGGGCTTTCAGGAGGGTGGAGGAGAGTCCCATCGTACAGGCTGAGTTGTCTGTGTCGTGGATGTCCCTGTTTTCAAGCAGGGGATGATAGGATAAGATTCCTCGTTGGAGCAGGCTGACAGCTGTGGGAAGGAGGATTGGCATGGGGAAGTTGAGGCTGAGAGGGAGGTCACATCTGGCCAGGAATGTTGAGAGTGTGGATGGGTCCAGGAGTGACCATGGTTGTCCTGGAGACTGCTCAGAAACCAGCCGCGTGGCCCCATTGCAGCCTCTGACCATCCTCTCCTGCCCTCCTCAGTGCCAGTTCCTTCCCAGCTCTCGACCTCAGTCTGCGGTAACTCCTCCGCTGGGGTCACCTGTCTTCCACTCCTGCTCTGGACCCTTTTTCCTGTTTCATTTCCTCTTTCTCCTCCCCTCGTACCTCAGGCGTTTGTGGCAACAGGCCCCTCGCCCTCCTGTGAGCTGCCCCCACTCCCCACTACTGTTGTGCTGCCTCCTTTCAGAAATGCCTTTCTGCCCAGAGTGTTCCTGCTCATCATCCAGGGCCTCGCCCAGAAGCCTCTTCCTCGTGACTGCCTCAGGCTGTTAGCAAGTCCCTCCCCAGGCACTTGGTGTGAGACTTGATTCCACGGTTCAACCTTGTCCATCGTCTGCTGTCCCAGCCCTTGTCCTTCCCGCCCCTGCAAGAGTCTGAGATCTCTGTCAGTAGAATCTGTCTTACTCCCAGAGTCTGTGTGATTCAATGACTATTAGATGGTGAATTAATTTTCGGATTCTCTAACTTGGTTGTGTATGTGTGAAACCTAGTGTTAGAAGGCTTAACTGCTGTTTATTGTCTGTAAACAGGTTATAGAACCCCTAGGGGAGAGTTGGTTTAGATTGTGTTCGTTTGTGTGGCCCCAG